ATTGTTAATCTTCTGGATTTCTGATTGCTGTCTTTCTATGGATTCTTGCAGCCTGTTAAATTTGTCATTATGCTCTTCTCTAATCTTCTTAAGTTCCTCTATTGCGTGTTCTGCATTTTGCATAATTTCCTTCCAGATATCTTGAGAAGCTCTGTATATCAATGTTTTGTATTCTGCCTCTGGTAATTCCAAGAAATTGTCTTCCTCCAGAAAATTTCTAGATTCTTTATTTTGGGAGCTTGCTGAAGTCATCATGGTCTGCCTCTTTCTGTGATTTGATATTGATTGTTGTCTCCAAGCTATCGATGTTATATTTGTTTTATGTTTGCTTACTGTGTCCTAGCTTCGTTTTGTTTTGATACGCCCAAATAGGCTGTTCGTGTGAACTAACCCAATCATCAGTGCCCCCAAAGCGCCAATGTCGTGCCACCAGGTGGCCAGATCTGCCACTAAGTATGTGAGCCCAGGAGTCTGCTCACTCCTCCTGTATGGATTCAATTCAGATGTCCAGGTAGTTGGCCACCAAGTGTGTGGTGCAGGCTCTCACCTACAGTCCTCGACCAGCATAGTCTGATTGGTGTAGGCATAGGCATCCTGTTGCAGCAGGAGGACACACGCTGAGCAAGGCAGGGGGCCAACGGCCATCCCCGTGTGTCCAGGAGGAAAGCATGTCCCTGTTTCCTAGAGCACATAGGTGGGAGGTTTTTGCAGCCAGACTACGAGCACCCAATGTAATGTCTGTAAGGACTTGGGGACACCTCTTATTCTTGGGCCCCTGTCACCGGTGGCTAGGTGGTGCGGGTGGAGCCACCAGTCCTCAGGCCCCTGATGTGGCTAAGTGAAGACCCTGCTTAATGGGCAGAGCAGTGTCAAATGTCATGAACCTGCCACTTCACAGATGAAACAGTTGGTTAGACGTCAGGTATATTCCCTGTTGTACTGTGGTAATGAGGGCCTACAGTGTTGAAATGGGCCCACATGTCTATGCAGGGGGAAAGGCACTCAAAAGTCCATGGATCCCTCATGCCTGTGCCTAGGCAAAGGAGCGGTGGTACCCTAAATTCTTGGCTTAGGGGAGCCAGCAGATTATTTTTTCCCGTTTGTTAATTTGTTCACTCTCCAAGGCCGGGAGAATGGCTCGGGGTGCATGACGGGTTCTACTTCCAGCCCAGGGGACTCAGCAATTGCTGAAGCTGGTCCCAGACCCAGTGCAGAGCAGGGAGCGGCAAGGTAAATGGGAGAAAGGTTTCTCCCAAAGGGAGGTGTTTTTGATCTGTGCGGTAGGCCAGATGCAAGTACTTATCTTTTTCCGATCGAGGGTTGGTTGTCGCTGGTTCTGGATGCCGTAGTAGACTCTCTGCTGCTGGGTCTCTCCCAGTGTGGAAAATGCCTCCCGAGCACCACTGCTTGCCTGCCTCACTGCGCTTCAGGAGCTGATCAGGCCTGAAGCACTCAGGCTTTTGCCGGGTCAGATCCGGCAACTCTACGCTGCTTCCGAACCGTCTCTCCCTCCCCCTGCTACTCAGTCCAGTTCCTCAACTTTGCCTTTCATGCTCAGGGCTCCTAGATTGTCATATATAATCGATTCACTTGTTTCTTTGGGTCTTTGTTGTGAGAGGGAACACCGGAAGTGTCTGACCACTCCACCATCTTCACCTCACCTCAGCTGCCATACTAATTTATACATTATTGGGAATGGCTAGTTTTCAGTGCTTAAAGGGAAAAAGCTGACATTCTAGGATTCAGAAAATCCAAAAGTCTAAGCTTATTAAAACCTTAATTTTTTTTGTCCATATAGTCAACAATCTGAAAGAAAACTGTTATATAGGTGCTACAGTGTATCTAACATCTCTGATGTTAATTGTATGTCCCATACAAAATTTAAAAAAGCCACACATTGAACTTTAATGAAAAGCCTGCTTTTGCTTTTTAAAGAGGTTTCTTTAAATACTGCTATTTTCTTATGCTAAACTGGAGGTGAAATGTTTTTCCCTAATCCTTAGAAGATGCTTACCCTACAAAAATCATCCTCTTGCCCTTGAGTCGATTTCGACTCATAGCGACCCTATAGGACATAGTAGAACTGCTCCATAGGGCTTCCAAGGAGCAGCTGGTGGATTTGAACTGCTGACCTTTCAGTTAGTAGCCAGCTCTTAACCACTGCGCCACCAGGGCTTAACAAAAATCATCCAGTCTTTAGAATGTTTCCTTAAAGCCAGTATGTTAATCTTCTTTATGGTTGATAAGTTCATCAGTCTATCCAGAAATGCAATTCACATAACTTGAAGTAATGCTTTCAATAAAAATTGGTATATATTTTGAAGTGTTTTATTAGATTTTTCATTTCCAATTGAAAAATTTGATACTTCCAAAATATATCACATTTTTAAAAAACTTTTACTGTTAATGGCAAATTTCCATTTCTGCTTTTTGTAATTAATAGAAATACAACTGATCCTCCATATCTGCAATTTCACATTCATGGATTCAACCAATCACGGATCCAAAGCATTTTAAAAACAAGAAAGGAAAAGAAAGACTTCAAGGGCCTGGTGGCAACACGCCAAAATGATTTGTGGCTGTGAAGGAAAAGGCTCCCAGGGGGCCAGAGGCAGCCGCACTCCAACACAATTTGGACAAGTGATGACACCAGGAATGGGGTCACCAACTTATGCTCAGGTGCTTCTTGGCCTGAAAGAGGATCCGGCAGTGCATGTTTGCGGCAGAGGTCTGGGTCCAAAGGAGAGAACAAAGTTGGCAGGCACAGGACTAGCAATCTCTGTACCGTGTAAGTGCTGCGTTCAAAGTCACCCAGGGCTTCCACATGAAGGACCCCTGGCTTGGAGGGCAGCCTGCGGCAGGAGGGCCGGATGAGGCTATCCTTAAATGTGCCTGTTTTGAGGCAGTGCCTCATGCTTCCGCCCTAACCTGGCCCAAACATCACTATTCCATTTCAAAGCAAAACACTGCTCATTCCTGTGCTATGCAAAAAATAAAAATAAAAAAATAAAAAAAACCTAGGCCATGTTATATAAGGGACTTGAGCACCTACGGAAAATCCGTGGGGGTCTTGGAACCAATCCCCAGCGGTTACCAAGGAATGACTGTATAAACAGAATTAGAATTTAAAACAATCAGCATAAAATTTATAAATGCATATAATTAGTCAAATTTTGTTACACACCAAAAAGACAAATCCTTGATAATGGCCTGCTTGTTCCAAAAATATTAAAAACAGAATTGTCACACACATACAAAAACACACACAACAATTTGTTCCAGTTATTTCAAATGTACAGTGGTCCTCATTAAGGAATGAAAAGTACAGAAAAAAAATCTTTAAAAATGAGAAGTTTATACCAAGTTTTTTTTTTTAGGAATTAAAATGATAAAGCAAAGAATATGAAAAATTCTAAGAAAGTATTAGTAAGGTTAATAAATAAATTTTGGCAAATTAAGATCTTAAGTGGATCAGATTCCATCAGGTGTTCCTTCAGCATTGAGTTCATGGAAACCCAATAAAGTGGGAGAGAGATTCTTTTCGGTATACTGGCAGCTTTCCCAGTCAGCCACTGGCTTTATTTCCGAAAAGGAAACCTGTTGCTGTCCATTCAATTCCGACTTATAGCGATCCTACTGGACAGAGTAGAACCGCCCCACAGGGTTTCCAAGGAGTGCTGGTGGATTCGAACTGCCGATCTTTCAGTTAGCAGCCGAGCTCTTAACCACTGCGCCACAAGGGCTCTGAACAGGAACGGCAGCTTAATCCTGAAAATTTACTGAATGGTTGCAAAGGACTATTAGGCCCTGAAAATTTCTAGCACAAATGCACTGAGAAGAAACAATATTCCCAGTCTAAGAAGCTAACTTCCAACAGAGAAATGTTCCCTATTAAAATTAGCCTCAAAACATAAAAATTTTAAAACACACACTGAGAACAATGAAATATCCAAAAAGTAGAAAATACTGAAAAGTACATGATCAACATGATTTACATTTGGCTATCCTAAAAGTGTGCTTCCTTTAGTCTACAAATTCTATTTACATAACATGCTTATATTTTTTAGCACAGTATTTGTTTTAAAATAGAAGTGTCATGTGTTAATGTCATTATAGGGATTTTATAAAAACAATTCATATCCTTTAAAACATCTTTTGTAATTATTAAAAAAATTAAAAGGCATTAAAACTGTCATTGCTGTGAAACAGCCCGTGATCTTAAGGGAAGAAACATCTCACTAGAGCTTCCACAGGTTCCTCCTTCTTCTAACTGTAGCTCTGGTGGCAAAGGAGGAGCTCCAGGGTCCCCAGGTCTAGGAAGCATTGCTGAAGAGAAGATAGTGTTTTCAGTTCTGCCTACTTCCAGAACAGGTAAATTCAGAGAAGAATCAGTAGGAAAAAAGGGGGCTGTGCTGGATTCTCCTTCCGGATGGTACATGACAGTGGATGCTCGCAGTTTTTCAGAGAAATTACTCTCATCTGAATTTGATCTAGAGAGATTGTTTGTAGCTCCATCTGGAAAAGGCTCACAGCTGCTACATTTTAGTCCTAAAATAAAATTATTCAGATATAAATGAAAAGTAACTAAACAGAAACAGTCCATGTTCATTCTGTTAATCTTTAAAGATTTCAAGCTAGTCACCACACAACCATGATTTAAATTTCGGTTTATAAACTCTATTCATAATTCATTTCAAATCTCATTTACTTTTCTCAATCATGAAGTATACAATTATTTGTATTTTCTAGACAAGGAAACAGTCTCAAGGAAGCTAAAAAAGACAAGCTAAACATAATTCACATTTTATGTCTTTGCTTATATACTTACCCATTGAAAGACCTGGGAAAATAAACTGGCCCCTAAAATTTGTGATAAAATAAAAAATATTTTTCACAACTAATAAATATTCTTTAGCATTCTGGCACAAAAAATATTACCCAATAAAAATAAAATTTAAACAGGGCACGTACTAAAATTCTCTGCATTGCCCTGAAACTACTGCCCTGACATAATCTTGAAACTTTAAACCAAAAATATCCCCTGAAGTCTTCCTAAAACCAAACAACAGTTTAGCTTAACTAGTAAAGAATGTCTGCCTTGAGCATTATGCTCCTTTAAGAACTATCTATACGGGATCAAACTGACAACAGCAACTCAAAACATCAGATAGGAACTTTAGGGGACAGTGAGTTTATGTTAATGGGAGAGGAACAACTCAGAAAAGGAGGGTGAAGAATAGTTGCACAACTTGAAGAATGTAATCAATGTCAATAAATGAGCTGGTGTATGTTTTGCTGTGTATATTCTCAATAACAACAAGAAAAATAAATTTTTTCAAAAAATTCTGAGTTGATCAATGTCAATTACTGATTCTTGAATCATAGAGTGTTAGAACTTGAAGGGATTTTTAGAGGCCATCTGGTATAACCTCTCAGTAACAGAGATGAGAAAATTGAGGCACATAATAATTAAATCCTGCCCAACATTCTAGGACTACTTTGTGGGAACGTGAGAACTAGAACCCAGGTCGGTCTTCCTCTTCACATTAAATAGTTCTTAAATTGCCTAGTTCTCAACCTAATTTTTTTTACTGACTTAATGACAGTAGTTTCCATCAAAGAATTTTATATTTAAAGGAAATCGCCAACAATTAGTCTCAGAATTTAAAGAATAAACACTAACACAATTTATCTTTCTCTTAGGCTTGGTAAATACTCATTTTACCACCTATAGGCACACAACCTCCCACGCTGGCAAATTCTAGGTAAAACATAAAAGCAGTATTTAAAAAAAAACGACAAAAAAACCCCCAAATTGTTATTTCTGTTTAAGATGTTTTAAAACCTGTAAAGTCTACAAAACATATTCATAGGTCATTTTTTCCACTTGCCTTTCAACTTCACAATACATTCAGCATTTGTGCCCCACGCTATAGAAACTATTGAATATGGCTCAGGAAGGGAACGTCCAATGTGTCCCAGTGTGTATAGGTAGTCCCCGACTTACAACGTATTCGAGTCACAATGAACCATATTTATGACCGCTCTCCTTTTTTGTACATCTTATCATTAGTAATATATACTACATATAATGTTGCAGCATGTCATTTGCTGATGTTATCATTCTCAGACGTTCACTCAAAGATGTTCAATTTTATGATTTACTGATCAAAACACTGCCATATAGAGCAGGCTATGGCCTGGTCTACAATGAAGTCGGTTTCAGTGAAGGGAGTCTTAACAGATAGAAAGTCGAGCAACGTACAACTCTAATGACATACAACAACTGAACCGACAATTTTCTGACTAGAAACACCATCCCCATTCATGGGGATAACCCAGATGATCCAGAACATTCACAAATGGAGTTATTACCACAACTGACAAAATGCCAACGTCATCCAACTCTTCATTGCTGGAATAAATTTTTATGATTTGTGTATTTTTTTATGTATGTATGTATTAAAATATACCTGTAAGTTTATATGTAATGTTTCCAACCTTCAAAGACAAATAAAGATCGGATTTATAAAGATACTGACAATAAAAGGCAATAATAATGAAAATTTTTTAAAAAAGAGGTGGTATTCGACTTATGTCAGAATCGACTTAGAAGAGAGTCGTTGGAACGGAACCCTGCTGCAAGTTGGTGACTACCTGTACTTATCAACTGTGAGTTCCTTAATGGCAGAGCCCTAAATTACAGTGCCTAGAACAGCTGGAGTAAAGCTATATCACACGGGCATTTAACTTATGTACTCTGGAGAGAGAGAGAATGAACTTAAATTGTGCAGGCATTTCTACACGGCATTCCAATCAGTGTGTGCTCTGGAGTTAGGGTGAAGAGGGAGAGGTTCATTTGCTGTTCCCTTAATCAGTCTCAGTCCCTAAGCCTTTCAGTGTGCACACCTGGCCAGAATGAGTATGACTCTTGTGTTTAAACTTATGTATACTTTTATACAACATGATTCCTATAAACATAAGCCAACTACTTCATCTTGTGCCTCAACTAGTGGGAGAAAAAGTAGCAGAGTTGGGCTTACTTAAATACTGTCTATATACTGTTCTTTATGTGTGATGTACAGTCTTTTCAGGAGTTACTTTTAAATAAAGTTTACATTCTGCTCCCTTTAGAAACACTCCTCTTGTGTATACTGGGACTTCATATGTTTTTTATAAATAGCGTTAAGTAAATACAGGCTACTGACTGGTATTCCACTTTTCCAACGTAATGATGTTGTTATTGTGTGCCATTGATTCTAACTCATAGCGACCCTACAGGACAGAGCAGAACTGCCCCATAGGGTTTCCTAGATTGTAATCTTTACGGGAGCAGATCACTAGGTCTTTTCTTCTGTGGAGCCCCTGGTGGCTTTGAACCACTGACCTTTTGGTTAGCAGCTGAGGATTTAACCATTGTGCCACCAGGGCTGCTTGTAATGTTATTATATAAGGTAAAAAATGCAAATCCAATAGAATTCTGAAGCTTAATGTTTTGAATAAAAGCAAATGATAATTTCTGGGTTTTTAGGTTTTATTTTATATTTTATTTTTAAAAGTATTCCTACATTTAAATTAACTCTTGACTATCTAAGATATCTTACCTTTCAGATATTCTAGTTTTATATTTCTAAGTTTCAGTACTTCATCTGTAATCTTCTGTATCAGGAAGTTCTGTGTTTTTTCTCGTCGAATAGATTCAACCAGGGTATCTAGTCCTTTGGGGTTTTCTTGTAAGTAGTCTAACAGTTTTCCAGCCCTTTTTCTACTTGATGTTCGGCAAGAAATTTCTTCAGTGTCTTCTCTACTGAGTATTTTTTTTGCACGTAGATGATCAAAATGTCTCTCAGCGATGATTTTTTCACACAGGTATACACGCAAATTTTCTAAAGCCTGAAAGACATAAATTATGCTTCAATATTATTTTTTAAAAACTAAGAAAATTACATAGGTGATTGCTTAGGAATCTCTAAGTGGTGCGAGAAAATGTCCTGCAGTCAGGTGGCTCAGGCCTACCGAAATGCATGCTAATTAGGATGAAGGTCCTGGTAGACACAAGCAGGTCCCTGACTGGACATTCCTCACAGTTTCAGTCCTACTTGAATCTCACCAGGCTATTACGAGGGAGGGATCAAATGAATCAAGAGGCTTTGGGCCTATATAAATAGGGAGGTCTGCTCAAGATCACCTTCTGAGGTAAAGATAAAAGGCTACAAAGTGTTTTAGTTATTATTTAGTAAGGAGTCCAGATTATTTAGGACCAGGGAGGATAACTTAGTAAGAGTTCTCGAAGTTTATTATTCCATCTTCCTAAGAGTGAAACTATTTTAAAAAAAATCTAAAAGCACAGTGAATGTTAGAAGAAGTTGAAGAAATGAAGGAAACCACAGAAAACAGGCCTAGACCTAAGAAGTGGCTGCTGTTGTTGTCAGGTGCCCTTGAGTCGATTCCAACTCCTAGTAACCCTACAGGATAGAGCAGAATTGCCCTGTAGGGTTTCCAAAGCGATAATCTTTATGGAAGCAGACTGCCACATCTTTTTCCTGTGGAACAACTGGTGGGTTCGAACCGCTGACCTTTCGGTTAACAGCCGAGTGCTTAACCACTGCGCCACCAGGGCTCCTTGTTATGAGGAACAGATACACGTAAAGTGCTATACATGTGCTAGCATGGTATATAGCAATCAATAAATATCAGTGATGATGTCGATGATTAATTTGACTCACATTTATAATGATGAGCTAAAGGCAATGGAAGATCTTCTAAGAACCCTAGTATGTGGTAAGGAGCCCATGGGTGGCATAAAAGGTTAAGTGCTGGGATACTAACTGAAAGGTTGGCAGTTTGAACCCACCAGAGGCACCTTGGAAGAAAGGTCTGGTGATCTGTTTCTGAAAGGTCACAGCCATGAAAATCCTATAAAGCGTTGTTTAACTCTGAAACATAGGAGTCCGAGTTGGAATCGACTCAATGGCAACTGGTTAGTATGCGGTGGCTGCAAAGTACGCTAGGTGTGAAAAGATCCTGTAGACTTTTCCCTTGGTCCACTCAACTCTCACATTCACTCATTTATTTATTCACCCAACAAATACTTTATATATCCAAATACACAAAATGCCAAGTGCTGAGCACCAGGTACACGAAGATGAACATGACTTTAATCCTGCATGCAAAGGGCACATGGTCTAGTCAGGGAATACATATCACACACGTCTAAGCCAAGAGTTACAAGACAATGTAGTATGACCTAGAAAAAAAGACTACAGACCAAGTATTGGTGAAGAACAGAGTAAGCAACTAACTTCACCTCCAGGACCTGGGAAATTTACACAGGTTATGCTTGAGCTAGAGACATGAAGGTGTGTAGTGTAGAAATACTGAGAAGCTGGGGTAGCTGGAACACAGGGTGCATGTGAGAGGATGGAAAGAGATGAAGCTGGGAAGGAAAATGGGTTGGATCTCAGAAGGATTCTTTATAACATGCTGAGGAACATACATTTCCCTGTAGCCAAAAGGGAGTCATTAAAGGTTTATAAACCAGAGGCAGTAAGATAACTTTTGTAAGGGACTGGAGGGAGCAAAAACTGGGATCAAAGGAGACCAATTAGAAGACTGTTGCATGAATTTAAGCTGTGGGAATGGAGAGAGAAGCCTAGATTTAAAGATGAACTCTGTAAAACCTCTGCTCATTGTTTACCAACTATATGCTGATGATTCCCAAATTTATGTTTATAACCAAGACTGATGGCCTTCTCCATCTAGACTATCAAAGGTACTTCAAATTTAACATGTCTAAAACCAAACTTGTTATTGTTCCCTATCCTTTTCCTTCAATAATCTCATCTCACTGTGGAGCACCACCATCCTTCTACCCATGTTATAAACCTAGAACTCATGCTTGATTCCTCTTCTGTTTCCCTCATTTGCCACATCTAATCACCCACCTACCAAGTCTTGCCAATCTCTCCTTTATATTTATCTAATCTGTCCCTTTGCTTCATCTCTATTATTAGTATTGTTCTGGTTCAGGTACGAGGGCTTTGGTGGTTCAGCTGTAGAATTCTTGCCTTTGTGCAGGAGACCTAGGTTTGATTCCTAGCCAACGCATTTCATGTGCAGCCACCACTCGTCTGTCAGTAGAGGCTTGCGTGTTGCTATGATGCTGAGCGGGTTTCAGCTAACATTCCAGATAAGGATGGACTAGAAAGGCCTGCTGATCTACTTCTGAAAACCAGTCAATGAAAACCCTATGGAGCACAAGGTCCAATCTACAATTGATCATGGGGATGGCACAGGAACAGGCAGAGTTTTACTCCATTGTGCATGAGGTCACCATGAGCTAGGGCCAACTTGACAATGGCTACAACAATAATTCAGGTACTCGTTACATCTTGTGTGGACTATTACCAACAGACTCCTAACTATATACTTCCAATTTTCCTAACTATATACTTCCTATTTCTCTCTCCTCCCCTCAAATTTCTCCTTCACACATCTATCAGATCTTCCAATTGTTTTTAAGAGAAACTGGATTTATTGGAGTGTTATGTGAACTCTCCTAATATTGAAATGTTGTTGATTAATTAAAAGTTAAAAGACTATGTTCCTGGAGGAGATAACCCCTGACATAAAGGAAAATGTTCCTCCATCGTGGCAGAATAGAAGTTAACAGTATGGTTCTGGAGTCAGACAAACCTCAGTTCAAATCCTGAATATGCCACGTACTCCTGTGAGAACTGGGACAAGTTACTTCATCAGATTCCTTATTGATAAAGTGATGATAAATATTTATCTCATGGGACCTCTAGAAAGATTATATGGGACAATGCATGTAAGAGGTTTGGCACAGTCTCTAGTACAAAGTAAATGTTCAATTAACAACAGCTATTTTATTATGGCAGACAAAACTCTCTATAATATGGCTTTGCCTACCTCTCCAGCTTAATCTATCCCCATATCTCTGTCTGTCCTGGAACTTTATGCTCCACCTATAACTGTGGTTTGTTACTATTATCTCTTTATGTTACCTTTGCCTTTTCTTTTTCTCAGACCCCAACCCCTATTCATCCTTTAAGATTCAACTCGGTGGTGATCTCCTCCAGGAAGCTTTATCTAACCTTCACAGGATGAGTCAGGCACCTCTCCCTTCTGTCCGCGCAGCACCCTATACATACGTCTATTGTTTCACTTGTCTATATAGCAGGAATCTGTGTCCTCCACTTTATTTCCAGGCATTTCCATTTTGCCCCACTACTCAAAGTCACTGATGACCTCCTTATTGTCAAATCTGATACTTTTCCATCTTCATATTACTTGACTTCTCAACAGTAACGGACACAGCTGATCACTCCCTCCTTGAAACACTTTTTTTTTTTTGCCTATATGAATATCACACTCTCCTGGCTTTCTTTCCTTCTCTGTGGCTAATTCTTCTCAATCACGTATCGAAACTCTTCTATAATCTCCTTTTCTCACTGATCTTGACTTGTACATCTAATTTGTGATTTGACATTTCCACTTACTAATCTAATTCCACTCTTCCTCAACTCCCACATTTAGTCCATCATCAAGTCCCATCATTTCTATTTCAAAAAATGCATCTGGAATTCTCCTGCTCCATCCATCCCCACTACCCTCACTCTGATCCAAATCATCATCATGTCTCTTCTATATAAATTCCAAGAGTCTCCTTACTCATTTCCCTGTTCTCACTCCTGCTCCCATCAGTTGACGACCATAGGCAGAGGGATCTTTAAAACTAAATAATTCTTCAGTAGGTTCCCACTATACTTGGTGTCATGGATTGAATTGTGCCCCACCAAAATATGTGTCAACTTGACTAGGCCATGATTCCCAGTATTGTGTGACTGTCCACCACTTTGTCATCTGATGTGATTTTCCTATGTGTTGTAAATCCAACCTCTATGATGTTAATGAGGTGGGATTATCAGCCATTATGTTAATGAGGCAGGACTCAATCTAAAAGATTAAGTTGTGTCTTAAATCAATCTCTTTTGAGATATAAGAGAGAGAAGCAAGCAGAGAGACATGGGACCTCATACCACCAAGAAACAAAAGCCAGGAGAATAGTGTATCCTTTGGACTCAGGGTCCCTGCACCGAGAAGCTTCTAGTCCAGGGGAAGACTGATGACAAGGACCTTCCTCCAGAGCCGAAAGAGAGAAAGCCTTCCCCTGGAGCTGATGCCCTGAATTTGGACTTCTAACTTAAGACTGTGAGAAAATAAACTTCTGTTTGTTGAAGCCATCCACTGGTAGTATTTCTGTTATAGCAGCACTAGGTAACTAAGACACATGGGAAAAACCCAAATCCTTTACTACCTATCATCTTTAAGGCCCTTCATGATTTGGTTCATGCCCACCTTCCGAACTTCACCTCAGGCTACCCTCTGCCTTCTCCCAATTTGCTGAAGTCACCAAGCTCTTTACAAATTCTTTTCTGTCTAGAACGGTCTTCCCTCGGCAATGTTACATCCTTCAGGAATCACTTTAAATGTAACTTTCTCTGACCATCCTATCTCAGGTAGACTTCTGTGGTTATTATCTCAGCACTTGCCTCCTTCGTAATACTCATCATAACTTGTAATTATACATATAGTTGTTTTTAACCACAATGACCTGTAAGTTTGAACCATGCAAGAACCAGGTATGTTTTGTTCAATACTGTATACCATGCACTTAGCAGAGTGCTAAGTAGACAGTGGTTTGGATGAATGTAAAATCCAATGCACTTATCATTTTATATCGATCTCCCTTGCCCCAAGAAACTGAGCTCTTCGTCAAAATAGGAGTGTGTCTTGGTTTTTATTTCTGAACTGTTAGAACCGACTACATTATCAGCCTCACAATAATATGTAATCCGTATTTATAAAACAACTAAATTCAACCAAAAAGATGAGGTAAACAACTAGATTGGGGTAGGGGGAGTATAGTGAAAAAAGTGGGAGTTTCCAGGAAGATGGATGGTGGTACACCATTTCATGAAGACAGAGGATACAGCAGAAACAGCAAGCAGCTTTGGAGGAAGGATGATATAAAGTTCAATTGTAGACAAAGTGAGAAATCTGCAGTATATAAAAGGAGATACCAGTAGATATTTGATAATATGGGTCTAGAGGTAAAACAGAAGCAAGTTCAAATATGTAGATGGTAATTAGAAAACTTTTAAGGTCACAAACCCCATTTGAAAATATTATATGGAAAAAATCTCTAAGAATAAAAATGTGCACACACATTTTTTTCCACAGACTTCCTGAAACCCATCCACGGTTTCACTAGGGTTATGAATTTCTGATACAGACGTAAGTTGAAATAATGGAGATGAATAACGTTAATGAATGAACAGAGAATACAAAGGCCTGGAAGCCACTCTTCCTATGTGTTTTTGTGCATAGGTCTCATCTCCTCCTACTTGTAACCTCTTAAAGAGTCTGTTTCATCACCTGTAAAATGGGAATAACAATTATCTCCCTCAGAAGTTGTTATAAAGATTAAACGGGAACTCTGTAAATTGTGTGGCACACCATCTGGAACATCTAGCTCTTGAAGTGGTTTTTCTTGAATAAGACAACACTCTTTTATTCTACACCTGTTGCTGTCAAGTCGATTCCGACTCAGAGTGACCCTAAAGGACAGAGCAGAACTGCCTCATAGGGTTTTGAAGGAGCAGCTGGTGGATTCGAACTGCCTACTTTGTGGTTAGCAGGCAAGCTCTTAACCGCTGGGATACCAGGACTCCCATTTATTCTATAGTAGTCATCAATGTCCCAGATTTATTTCAACTAGATTGTAAAGGAGGAACCTGATGTTCATCTTTTGTATCCTTCCAGGGCTAATAATAATACTTTGCATATTGTAAGTGCTCCATAAATATCTGTTGAATGAGGAAACTAAGGCCCAAGTTCCAGTCATACAGTTTAATTCCCAGCTTCCTTTTGTTAATGAGTCATACCAGTTATAATTATGAGTACAGTATAATAAATATTACAGGAAGAGAAGGAGACAGTTGAAGTAGATGAACATTAAAAAAAGCTCCTGTGTTTTCCAACTCCCAAAGATTATTTTGTAAAGTACTGCAATGTCAAACCAAAACACACTTCATGTTGTTTGTTTTTCATTTGAATATAAAGTATTTTAGTGGTACTCGTATGTCTCACATGGCAAAGCAAGTAACCAAAATTAAAGGAAAAAGAGAAACAAATCATGTCAACAAAGCTATGCTTTATAAATCACTATTAAGGCTTGTGCAGTTCTGTAGCTGCTATGCAGAAGAGTATAATTTAGCTAGTGAATATCTCCAACGTTTACCTGTAAATTAATTCTCTGCTACAAGTATTCAAACCGCCCCCCCTCCATTTAAATATGTGGGCGTTCGTTTACTAGGGGAATTCCAGTTGGTGCTTTCAGCTGTTGAGCTTCCCCCAGTCCCTTTGCCAAGAGTTTCACCGTTCGCTCCACTGCCTGGGATCCTCCTTTTCTGGTCGAGCTTTTGCTCTGGGTTGGGTCAGCAGCCTCAGTCTGACTCAGGGATGAATCTGAGTCACTGATGCCTAACAACGCAGCTCCAAGAGTGCAGCGAGGGTAAAATCGAGTGGGAATGGGTGAGGAGTGGGCAAGAAGCTGCGAAGAAACGCTGCCCTGGACAAGGTCTGAGAAACCAAAGTCCTGTGTTTAGTGATTTTAAAACGTGGATTAACAGGTCCTAAGGGATCACTTTCACCAAGGTCCCTCGGATGCAAGGCTCGCCGCGGTCCTGCTGTGCTCAGACCTTCCGCCCTCCAGCCCGGAGGCTCCACCTCGTCCTCGGACTCGGGTTTCCGTTTCCCTCTCCCGAGGGCGGCAGCCCGCCCCGCCCACCCCCTGCCCTCGGTAGCGACTGGGCAAGGTGGTGCTACTCACATCCTTTTTTACTTCAGTCAGGTCCTCCTCGGTGAGGGACGGCGCGGTGGGCTCCATGGCAAAGGCAGGAGATGGCGCTTCTTCCGGGTCCGAAGCTTGGGCCGCGCCGCCCCGCCCAGCCTAGGGGCTTCGGCCTCCGGGTCACGGGGGAGAAAGGGAGGCGGAGCAGGTGAGGAAGAAAGGGGTCGCCCCCTTCGAAATCCAAGCAGCTCGAGGGTCAAAGCTTAGCGCTTCCGGCTCCGCCTCTGAGGTCTACGGCGCTTCAGACTCAAACGCGTCGCGACGCCAAGGTGTAAGTCAAGTTCATTTGCGCTCCGAGAGGCTTACGCGCAGGCACCTCGGTGAGGCTGGTCCTTCGGTAGAGCCCGCCCCATTACTGCTGCAGCCAATCAGTCCCAGCATGTGGACCACTCCTGTTCCCGCCCCCCGGCTGGAGCCTTTCAGGAGTAGCTCCGCCTTCAACGGGCGTCACCTCAGGCCACACCTCCTCAGGTCGTTTGCATGTGGCCGCAGGTTGGCCTTCTGGTAAGGAATCATTTCCGTGGGTGTGGCGCGTCGCTGCTCAGCGGAGCAGCACGCCTCACCTTCGCAGACTGCCAGTTTTGGTGGAGTCCTGTGAAATCTCGGCTGTACCGTTGGGTTCATCGCCTTTTCCCAGACTGTCATACAATTTCCTGTTGCTGGGTTTGCCCACTTTAAGTTGTTAAATTATTTGGTCACATACACACATATGCACACAGACAGCGTAAATGCAATATTAAAGAAATTTTTGAAAGAGGAAAAGAAACCACAATCTACAGGCCCACCACTTTAACACCCCATTTACTGTTAATATACTTTTTTGGTCACTGTTTATAAACATTTTCTTCATAGATTGATCTGTTGAACGGAGATATACCTGCCTCCCAGGGCTGCTGTAAGGATTAAATGATATAGGCAGGGCTTCAAACTGGTTCTAACCGGTTCAGTCATGGCCGATGAAGAGAAATGGGAACAGATCCAAATTTTTTAAATTTGAGTGATCCAGAACCATAAGCGGAATGGGAAGTTATGGGTCAAAGCCCTGGAATGGGAGACTCGGAAGAGGTGTAGTGAACCCTTTCAGGAGCCTGATGCATGAGATGGGTTATTGCCAGGACCGAAGAGAGCCACACATATTCAAAGCGGTGTGGTTACCGCCATCTTTGAGCCGGGCACCACCGTTTCTGACTGCACAAAAATCGGAAGGGCAAGAAATTTGGTTGTTATGCAACGTAGAAGCTGCCCTTGTTTTCTAATAGGGAGATTAAGTTTCTAGGAGGGCTTCAATTTTTAATTTTTCCCATTCCAGTTAACCCAATTTTTAAAAATTCAGGTCTGTTTGGGTGTTGCTTCCTCAGCCATGATTGAACAGTGAAGAACCAGTTCAAAGCCCTGGATACAGGTAAGGCTCTTAGAGGTACCTGGCACACGTAAGCACTCAGTTTATTAGTATTATCTTGTATTACTCCAATGTTTATTGAGTCCTTACTAATATATTCCAGGCATCCTGTTCTGTAAGAGTTCTCCCATTTTATTGGAGGACACTGATTTCCCCGGTCAGTCTCTGTCCTAGTCTTCTCTAATAGTCCAGGACAACTATTCCCAGAATGGTGTTCTAACTAATAATAGAGGTTTATACAAAGCAACAGAGTCCCTGGGTGGTGCAGTCCATTTATGTGCTTGGCTGCTAACTGAAAAGTTGGTGTTTCGAATTCACCAGCTGCTCTGGAGGAGAAAGATGTGGCATTCTGCTTCAGTAAAGATTACAGCCTTGGAAACCCTATGGGGCAGTTCTATTCTATCCTATAAGGTTGCTGTGAGTCAGAATTGACTCCATGGCAATGGGTTTGGTTTTGGTTTGGAATCTTTATGGAAGCAGACTGCCACATCTTTCTCCCATGGAGGAGCTGGTAGGTTCGAACAGCTAACCTTTCAGTTAGTGGCCCAGTGCTTAACCACTGTGCCACCAACTGCTCCTTTAGAATATTAGATGATAGATGCTAACAAAAAAATAAAACAGAATCAGGATGAAGCTTATGGAGTGGGAAGGTAAAATTTAAAATAGAGTGGTCAATGAAGACCTCACTGAGAAGGTGAGATTTGAGTTATGACTTGAAAGGATAAGCCATGTGGACATCTGGGAAAAGTCTTATGAGTAGAGGGAATATCCAAGGAAGAGGCTCCATTGTGGCTGGGATGGAGTGTGTGAGGGGTGAATAGAAGGCGATGAGGTCCTTATATGCCTTTGTGAGAATTTACACTGGCTTTGCTCTGAGTCATATGGGTTTACTCTGAGTCAGATGGGAAGCCACTGGAGGGTTCTGAGCAGAGGAGAGACATGATCCGATTTATGATTTGAAAAGGAGCACTTTCACTGTTGTATTAAGAGAGTAGAAGGTGAAGGAAGGGAGACCAGTTAAGAGCTATTATCATAATCTAGGTGCCATAATGGCTTGGACCAGTGTGGTAGCAGTGAGGATGGTGAGAACATTTTGAAAAGAAGGTGGGAAGCAACTTGATTTCATTTTGAAAGGATCACTCGGCCTGCTGAGTAGACTGTAGGATCAAGAGCAGAAGCAGAGAGACCAGCTGAATGCTCCTGCAGTGATCCAGGCAAACATGAGGGTGTCGTGACCAGAGTAGGAGCAATGGTAAGCACTTCCCCATTGTTACCTTAATGCTAGTCCCAAATTATCATTGCTATGAAACATTTGTCCAGATGAAAGGGAAGACAGGAGAGGAGAAGCTGGAGAATCGGAGACGAGCTCGAGCTGCCAGAGTAATGGAGGGGAAAGTTCCAGTCGCAGTGCTGAGAAGCCATCAGCTAAGGAAGAAGCTGGAAACTTCCCAGCAAAGCCTACAAAGATCTCCAAGTTTAGAGCTGCCATAGGTAGACAACAAAGAAAGCATCAGCCATATCCATCAAACTTGGATCAAGTAAGCCTAAAAACACAGTTCCAACTCTTGCTCTAAAAATCCTTTCAGTAGCAGCAGCTTTTAATGAAGATGAAGATAGTGAACCAGAAGAAATGCCTCCAGAAGCAAAGATGAGGATGAAGAATATTGGAAGGGATACACCAACGTCAGCAGGACCAAACTCCTTCAACAAAGGAAAGCATGGGTGTTCTGATAACCAGAAGCTATGGGAGTGAAATATAAAATCTCATCTTGGAAATGTCCATGACCAAGACAATTAAATGATGTGTTTTGCGATTGGGGTGTGGAGTGAGTATAAAATTAAAAGGAACAGTTTCCTTTTTTAAAGAATGGTATAAGACTATCTTTGGAGTCACTTTTTTTTTTTTTTTTTAAGTAAAGATTGAGTAGTATACTAATAAATGAGAGTTTGAAGTTAGAGGTAATTTTTTATATACAGATTTCAAGACATTTGCTAATTTTCTAGTTTCATGTGATTAGTTTCCAAAGATTACAGATAATAAAGAAATCAGAAATGGTACCTTTTAAAGAATTGCATTTTTTTTTAAAACACAATTGTTAGCACATTAAGAGGGAAGCAAAAAGTTACTGTCTATTTAAACTGGTTCAAAATGCAAGCAATTATTACTCTCTAACTTAACTCCCTCATTAGATAAACTGTCTGGCTCCCAGCAATAGCCTTATAGAAAGGAAGTATCGTATTGGGAGGAAAAATGTTACTGGACTATTGACTGAAAGTAAATTTAGATAAAATTAAATGCAGCTGTTTTTCTCATGGGCATTTGTTTTCTTTCAAGTCATGAAGTAGTTTCTGCTTTGCTATCAGTAGATACAGGTGCTTAGTAACCATTAAAAGTAACCATTTTTTGAAATTTTATGTAAACTGTTGAATATTTGAAATAGCTCACTTCACCTTAATGGGTCTTGTTTACCTTCACTCGTCTTCAAGGAACAACCATTTGCTACCAAAGTAAGTCAGTATTTTGAACGTGCTTCTTCTGGTTTTTGTTACTAGCTAGTTCCTGAAATCATTTCCGCCAGAACTTGAGGAAGCTGTTTCTTTTAAAGTACAAACCAACACCAAAAAATTTAAATGTACATATTGCTTAAATATTTGGCTGTTTTTATTTTTTAAAAAGTATGAACACCCAAAAAAGAAAATACCATATGAAAATGAGAAGTGAGAAGATGTACTTTCTGTACTTTGTCAAAGCATTTAAGTTACTAATTTGTGAGTTCCAATTTGAATTGACCTTACTACAGGAGTTCTTACTAATAGAATACTATGGTTTATTTTAAGTGTATATATATTGACCAGTGGCCTCTCAAAAGCACATTTTAGATACTGAAAATAGAAGGAAAGAAAATGTATCTTCAAACAGTTGATGGAATCTCTGACCATATATACCTGGTTCTGTGTGTTGTGGGGTTTAGGGTGGTATTGTCTTTTTTTTTTTCCCTTTTTTTTTTTTTTGTATTTTTGTGTAGTATATGGACTCTTTTTTTCTTAATGTGACAGTTAAACATACTTTTAAAAGCATAGTCACAAACAAAAGAAACATAAGATATAACGACTTCTTGAAAGTTCCTACAATGTTAAATTTGGAGGATGTGTCAGACTATTTTATTGGTAGTGTCTTAGGCTGGGTTCTCTAAAGAAGCAAGACCAGTAAAGCATATAAATATATATATAGAGAGAGATTTATATCAAGGAAACGGCTTACGAGATTGTAGAGGCTAGAACGTCCCAAGTATGTGGATCAGGATAGAGGCGTCTCCTGATTCACGTAGCTACAGGGGCTGGCGAACCGAAGGTCGGCAGGTTGGAGAGCAGGGCTCTCGCTCACAGGCTGTGAAGATCAACAAATCCCAAGTTTGGCAGGTAAGCTGCTAGCTCAAGTCCCAAGAACTGGAGGTCAGACAAACAGGAGCCAGCTGCAGAATCCAGAGCGAGCAAAAAGCCAGAACGTCTGCTTATATTCGGATGCAGGCCACATGCCCAAGGAAACTCCCTTTCAACTGACTGGTGACTGGCTACTCACAGCAGATCCCATCATGGGAGTAATGACATAAAAACACTGAGAATCATGACCCAGCCAAGTTGACATACAATCTTAACCATCACAGGTGGTAACTGCTTGCTGAACTCTTAATAGCTAATAATTCCAGAGAAGCAGCCTGACTGTTGTATATTCCTAATACTTTTTCTCACTGGCAATCAAGTTTAGAGTAACTCCCAAGTAAAACAGTGGAAATGTATATAGAACTGTTAGTTCTTACTTACATGATTTAATTATACCAAGATACATGAATTTAACTTTAACTTACTTTAATGTAGGCAAACTTCCCATTTTT